TAGGTACCAACAACAACCAATAGCCTCTTGTTGTCGTCGACAATGGGCGGTCCATGACTATTGATGATTTCCTTTTTTTCTTGTGTAAACCAGTGATCTAGCCTCTTTTCCCTCAAAGACAATGGATCTTCGTTGTTAACACCATTATGACGTCTAATCAGATCACATGCTGCTTGCACGCATGAAGCTTGTGACGGGAATGAGTATTTGGGGTCGAGATAGGTCGTATCCAAGTACACAATATCAAGCGGCTGCTCCCTCAACATGGGGTGGAGACACATTTTGGGACAGGCTCTGAAATCTCCTGTATGTAAATACCTCAAATTATCATTTGTTGTAACCAAGAATAACACAGCGCCCGGACAATGGTTAGCGTCAATCAGTGTAACCCTCAACTGATCTGTGCCTGAGAGTAAACAAGGCTTGTCCATCGGTAAAGGGAATATGAAGTCTGGAGAGACGCCCAATTTCCGCTCCACTAATCTGGCTGTAATTTCTGAGCAGTAGATGGGGCCGTGGATCCAGTTGGGTGAAAGCCCCATATAATGGTCGCTGTGATAATGAGTTAATAGATATCCTTCGCAATCCGGGATCTCCCCAAATGTAAACGCATCCACAACCATCTTGGTTCCTGCTAATCTTTTGTAATAAGGAACCAATCGACGTTTGGGTGTTGCTGTTGTTGCGGCGTTTCCTTTGGGCTCACCAAACCAACTTGTTTCGCTCTCACTCAGTCCAGGTGCAGTGTCATTCTTTTGATGACTCCAGATGCCACGGATCTTGTATGCTGCCCCACTAAATATCTTTGACCATGATTTACGGACAGTCTTTTCGTTTGAAGATTCACAGGCATTTTCCAAGCAAGAATTAACATGAGTCTCGTACGTTTCAATGTGTCCGTCTGTAAACAATGTGCCGCAAACTGGACATGTGCTAGACTGCATCTCTTCTGGCTTCTCCTTGGTTTCTTTGACGTCCTTGGTTATATTATTTCCATTGTTGTCTATCTCCTTTCCCACCTCCTTTTTTACCTCCTTTTGCGCAGTAGTAGTATCTTTTTGAAAGAAATAATGTAGTGTATTTTGTACCAATTGACGCTTATTGTTTTCTTGGCTGCGATCCTTGAAATCAGCTGGTCTGCGTTTTCGGCATTCAGTTGTGGAGCTTGCCATATTGCTTTTGTTTGTAGATGACAGAATCAAGAGGGAATAAAAACAAAGAATGATTTAGGATGAACGGCATTAATTAAAAGTGCAGTCTCCGTGCCTAAAGACAATGGTGTCAGCGCGGGATAACGTTTTGAAACATCCATTGCAAGTATAATACTCTACAGACAATGGGCCAAATCAACATTCTCAAGATTAATAAATACTGCTGACCCATAACATTGTGTAAAAGAGGAAGGCAATATTTACCAAGCACTGCCCTCCATGTGTAGATTTCAAGCACTTGAAATGACCTCATAAGTCGGAAAATAGCGATGGATTGATAATATAATGTGTCATATTTTATAGTATGATCTGCTGAACATGTGCTAAAAAGCTTTATCATAGCTACCACGCAAGTCAGTAGATTGTAAGTTGGGGCGTATTTTAGATTTTTTTTTTATTCTTGCCACTGTAAACATCGCAAATCACTTGCATCTTCTAAAATATTTTTATTCTATATCCCAAAACAACTTGACAATTGTACATCCAGACCCTGCTCTTCGCATGACAGAAAACACCGTTACAAGTGCTCAATAGCAATTGTTTCTCGATATCTAAAATGGTATTATTTCTTTCACGCCTTCAAATATACAAGTTGCAGTTTCTCTCACAAACTGAAAATCTCTGCTGTATTAGTTGCTCTCTGAGACTTATATACCCCCCCCCCTATTTATGCTGCGGCCATCCTTCGAATAAAGTCTTGCGAGGAGAGGTTGATGGATTTGCAGAAATAACGTATGCACCATATGATATAGAATTTTAGTCGAAAATGATTTTTCACTTGAAATCTAACCATTCTATGGGCATTGCAAGTAATACTGTACTCACTTAAATTATTATTGCATAAATGTAGCTTATACATTCATTACTATGCCTTTTAGGCCATGTGCTCTGCTGTATGCGTTTTATCCAGTATTGAAAAATAAAATGGTTTAGAGGAGTGGGGAGGATTGGATTATTTAATACAAAGCATTAGCATATTTTAGCTAGTGTCAGAATGAGTATTGCTTTATAACGTGGATTCAGAAAAACAGAATGAATTGTCTTCAATAAAAATTTATCATTATTTCACTGCTTTATATGTGCTAATGTTTTCTGTACAGACTTCATTTGATAAACAAAAAAAAAACAAAAAAGTCTGTGCGTCTTGAACAACAAGTATACTCTTTTGAATTCATATTGTTTTAATTATGTACGTAGAATCAATAAAAAAAGTTTCTTGACTTGAGCTGGGGGAAAGAATCACTTGATAAAGTGAAAAAAAGTGAAATATATAAGTCATCATTGTTTAGGATACAGATCAAATCTTAGCGGTAATGTATTATACTCTGTATAATACATCATAAAGCGAGCATGAGTAGAAATGCGTAGTAGAATGGAATGACTTTATTTAGACATGGCAAAGAGACATAAGTGGTAACATTGAATGGCGAATCTTTATCCCAGTACAAAGTGGTGATATCCTATGACATTTGGTTCCTGAGGTCGGTGTTTAATCCTGATGAATGTTCTTCCATCAAAGCTACCAGGAACAACATTCTATCCTTTATACGTATCTATGCTCTTGTCTTACTGGTAACTCGGAAACTCTTATCCACCAAGCTCCTAGGGATTGGTTCAAGGTGTACCCAATTATCCCTCATCCTAGATCATGGTCCTATCGCTGCGGCACTGTCAAATAACTATATATACCTTCAAAACATACACTGGTTTAAATCTGCATTGAATCTTGGAATAGCAAAATAAATATATTCAGTTCTAATTGTATTTTTCTGGCTATATTTTGTTATTCTAAACAATCATGAACGAAAAAGTAACGCTATTGAATTTAAAGATGTACAAGTTTATTGAAAACCGCTATCTATTCCAACTTCGATCAGGATAATGCCATTACATTATATAAAACATATGGGTGATAACTTGATGAACCCATTTTCCATCTTGCTTCAACACCCAGCCATTTTCATCAGCGTTGAGTTCATTTTCTTGTAGAGAAGGTTCCAGTGAAGGGGTATTTTTTTATTGATAAATGTTTGAGAGATTGAATACGGAAAAAGCACGGTTGCCATTCGAAGGGGCGTACTATGTTGGTTTCATTAATTTCAGCAGTGAATGTGCCGGGTGCTTCGACTCCCTAATATTATCTGCAAAAACAGTTTATTTTTTTTTTATAAATAATCGCGAATATCAGATATTTGCTCATAATTTCTGCTAAAATGACTGTTTCAAAAGAGATTCTAGGGGAAATTCAATAGTCAAGTTGAGAAGCGCCTACACTTTTAAACAAAAAGCAAGACAGTAAGGCGTAGTACATGCCAAAGTTCTGAGTATATGAGTGGATTAAGGATGATTATCCCGGCCACGAATGAATGTGGCATTGCGAATGGAATCATGAAGTTTTTGAAAAGCCAAGTTCCGTTGGCTGACGCATCACACTCTACTTTGGGCACTATTTCTCCACGAGATGTGATTAATCTAGATATGAGGCTACTAGAGGAAACTAAAAGGATTAAGGTGGATGGAGCACATAATAGAAAGACTACTGCCCCCCAAAAGAAAATCAAGATCTGGCAGCAAGGCAGGCTATTTTCTCATTTTTATCTAAGAACTTTGATAAAATGGATAAACCCCACAATGAACCGACTTTACATTGTCATAGACCCTGCTCTATTCGTAGCGGGCATGAAGTTATCAAGTTGATAACTGTTAGAGGCGACAATTGTTGTTTCTTTCCTGTATACTAGGCTGAATTTTTTTTAACCCTATCGAACATTTCTGGGCTAAAATCAAGTCTACAGTCAGCTTATAGTAAATTCAAGAATGATGAAGATTTAAAAACAAGAAAGGTGAAGCCAGTGACCAAGTACCAGTTTGCGGTTAACTAATTAAATACAAAAGACTACTGTAACATACAAATGCCACCGCATTACACTAGTGTTGTGCGCAGAAATGAATGATTTAGAGTAGATTCCAATAATTTTATAAGGGTTAAAAAGATGCTGTGAAATTACTAGTAAAAGATATATTAAAAATACTTTTAAAACTGTTATTTATTTTTTAGACGAAGCTCATCAAAATGTCAATTAAAAACTATCTTTTTATACTAGTTTTCCAAGGGTAAATGATTATGGATATGAACCTAAATTATATTGGATTATTCATCCAGGACGTCTTGGCAGCAAGGATTGATAAAGAGATAACCAATGGCGGATTTGACGAGTGTTGGAGTTGTTTCTATTTGTTCTTGATATTGGATTACGTCTTCTTAATCCATGCTAGCCTAGTCTTGATGATTGTGATCTTTGTGGAATATTCTGGGGTAATTTGAAGTTCATATTCATACTATTTACGGAGATTTTTTTTATGTGATGATCAGTTTATACTGATCTATAACAGGTGCCCTTTATTGTTTTAAGATAAACAATTACAAAGAACAACTTGTCATTTTCCACTGTCAGGTACACACAGACTTTGTGTGTAACACTTTTAGTTATTATAAATATCAGTTGAAATACAAAAGAATAAACATCGTCTATCTTTCATCTCTTACTTTATACTTTATATACATTTATCAAAACAACACAAAACCAACACATCTCTGTGTCAGGTTCACACTGACCTTGTGTGTAACCTTTTAGTCAATATAAATATCTATCAAAGTACAAAAGAATAAACGGCATCTTTTTATCTCTTAAATATCCTATACTTATATCTTATAGTAATCCCATCTCTGCTCACGACATCTCCACACGACACAATTCCGCTTTGAATTGGGAAAAGTTAAAAAAAAAGAGCTCCATGCGAGGATCGAACTCGCGACCTTCGCGTGACTCTAGTATAGTTGAAGACTATAAGCACGACGCTCTAACCAGGCTGAGCTAAGGGAGCTTTATGCCTTTGTAAGTTTTTAACAGTATTGACCGTAATGGTAGCATGATGCTGCGCAGTAATTACGTATAACGCAATGCGATGATGGTATCATATTAGATGATATGATATGATGGATGATGATAAAAAGAAAATATTAAACAGTTAGAATAGTAAAAGAATAAAAACTTCATGTCAAAATCAGTGAGTTGAGATATCTGCAAGATCGAAAAAAAGAAAAGTATAAAATAAAACGTTTGATATGTGTCAATTTATTCCCAACCGAAAGTCAAACTCAAGTAAACTCAGTTTTGAATACAATCCAGGAACATATCTCAATGAATCATGTTCCTTATTTAGAACTCAACATGGCATGTTCATCATAGATAATAGATACAATCTATCGTTCCACTTGGAGTACAATTATCTAAGTAGTGAGGGTAGAATATTTTACTACGTTAATGGACGGTTGGTGTATCTAAAATTGTTGACATTACTATCAGGGTTATTACTTACTGTGAAATACTTACTATATAGTATATGTGGATATTATTGGACAAGAAGTAATTGACAGCAATGCGGTGATGTTTATAGAACTGTGGAATCGGTATAAGTTGCTATATATGGATTCACGGAAAAAAATTATAATAAAAAAACAATAACGTCAACTTGATAAAGATATAGGTTTTATTATCAAATTGACAGGTTTATAAAGCTCCAGTGCATCTACTGGCCAGGTAGATGAACCTTTATATACTTAAACTGTGGATAAATGATCTACTCTCGCAATTTAACATGTACGACAATACTGCGTAACTAGCACCTTAATTTTGTGCTAACCAACATATCAGCAGACTCAAGATAACTTACATCTATTTGATTGAGAAGGTAGACTTCACCCGAGGTACCCAGATCAATCTACTATACGAAGATTATTAATATCAATCCATAAGCTTATAGCATTTCATGTATAGTCTTATCCAGTTTATATTAATAGTACGTGTCTAAGTGTATATTGTTGTATCCATGTAAAGGCTACATATGTCATATCTAACTTAGTCATAATACACGGATCATGATATTAATTGTTGGTAATTCTTTTACAAATAAGGAATAAGCTACAAGTTGTAATTGGACCTCTTGCAAGGTTCCAGGCTTATTCAAAGAATACATCTAGATCAGATAGCGGGATGTCGGGAAGACATCCTACCCAATCTTCTCTTTAATGTAAAATAGAAAGATAGATCTCACTATGGCCTCCTGGATGTTCTCGGTGAACACAAATGTGCTCAAAAGGGAACATTATTAGGGTCATGGGAGCATTTATGTGCTTG